ACATCTTCAAATAAACATCTACACTCCAGATATCTTTAAGAGCACGCAGCACGTCGCAGATGCCAAACGTATCCTTGCAGATGCTTTTAAGCTAAGAATATGTGATATATCCGTGACCATATTTGTGTAGGCCAATTTTAGCATTTTTTTAATTATCATATTGTCTAAATTACTAGATATTGGAATAGCATCAGGGATTATGTCCAAAATTAAATAGTAAACTATATTTTTTAAATACATAGATGAGAAACTGAACATTTTTTAATAATTTGGTTTCTATTGCTGAGGCTTTGCGCTAGGTAGCCCCGCCCACCTCGAAATGTCATTGGTCAAAAATCCTGCTCTTCATACCTTAACATTAAACATCAGATTTGTTCTGATTGGCTGTGATTTCATCAAGTGCTGAGTGAAAACAGATCAATTGGAAACTTTGTCGTTGCATATGGCGTTAAGTGACTTCAGAACCTGATTTGATATCTCATATAAAATTATAGAGCTTTACAAACAAGGACAAAACTGTATGAATATATAGTACTAGCCATCCCATAAATTAACTATCACTATAGCAAATTTGGTCACACTTTAGTTTAGGGTCCAATTCTCACTATCAACTATCTATTATTTACGACTTTTGCCTCTATTAATAGTTAGTAAGGCATAGTTGTTAAGTTTAGTTGTATAGGATTAAGGGATGTAGAATATGATCATGCAGAATAAGTTCATATGGATCTTATAAAGTGCACAAAGCCAAGATCTCAAATCATATCATACATATAAATTGTGGAAAGGAGCGAAAGATAAGATATAATTTTGATGATGTACATGAATCGAGGATATTTGTGGGTCTTGGAAAATGGCACAAGCGTTACAACACAAGTGTTGGTACATAGACTGCTGCCAATGGTCTGTTCTCCAAACTGAGAACATGTGGTATCATCACAAGAGAAACCAAAGAATATTCCATACATGACGAATCCCATTTATAAAAGACCATTTATGAAATACAACTGAACTTTCCTTAGTGCACGTGTGAGATAAAAATCTGATAACAATAATCATTCAAATAGGGCCTTGTAACAGTTCTTACAGTTTAATAGGCTATACTGGCAGCTAAAAAAAATGAATTGAAATGAAAGCACATTGACGTGTAAGGCCTTTCATGAAGATTACTTCACGTTTTAAAGGGGAAACCTGCTGCATTTCTTTGCTCTAGCATTATTGCCTGCTAAACTAGTCCTGATAAGGTCAGGTTTAAAGGGATAGTTCACATGCAAAGTGATCATCACTTTCGGTTACACTTTATTTTAATGTGTCTGTGTTACAGTGTAATTCTACATTTAAGAACTGAGTAATAATTAACAACCTTCCGGTTTCACAGGCAAGGCTAAAATGCATGTTTGAGCTGTTTTAACTGGCAACTTGCACTCGCATATCTTAAAATATGTCAGTGCCATTGTTTGCTCTTAAGATGCACACCAATGTTTTTTTTTCTAAGGCATGTTTATAAAATATGTTTATATACTTAAATTGAACTAAATCTTATTCCTGGCTTAATCTAAGCCCTGTCTGTGAAACCAGGACTTTACTATAGGGTTAGGGTGTAGTTTAGGGTCAGTTGCATGAAATTATGCATAATTTATTGTTATTACTACAGTACCTACATGTAACATGTGTAACAAGGACACTAAAAATAATGCGTTACCTCTCTTTTCTTTGACAATCTCTTTATGAACTCCTTGAAGCGTCAACATTTTGATGCAATTAATGCATTATTTAATTTGTTTGCAGCCTAAAGGTATTTTAATATCAGATTTATGGCTGCTTTTGTAACAGCTATGCTAGATCATTATAAAATGTGTTGCCAAATTTAGCGTAAAAACAAGATGTGCTAAACCAGTCCAAGTTCATCAACCATTACCGTAAACAAACTATTTTTGACGCTGCAAGTGCCAGACAAAGATGCAATTATCTCCATAATGGCCTGAGATTAAAATAATTTGAATTTACGAGCACTTAAGACAGTGTTCAAATGACTGTCAACAATGTTCCTGATCCTGATAGCAACAGAGCTAGATTTAAACAGTTCTTAGTAAGTGAAGTAAACAATCTCACCAACAAAGATATCAAAGGCCGTTATCCCTTCAGACCGTACCGTATGCTAATGCTAAATCGTTCACTCAAACGCTTTACTTTGATGGAGCCGTTATGACTTTCGAAGACATTTCGACTGCAATAGCACAAAAGCATTATGGTTGTTCGAGTGAAAATCAAGTTCAAGTCAAGCTGAGGGTTGAGTCATTACTTGAGGACTGACGGAGGGAAATCTGTTGTTTAGTGTGACCCTTTGCATTTGTTTTGGGTAATGAAAGCCCATTGAGAGGCGGACATGCTGGACCGCTGCCCATTTCGCTCTGTTTCAAATACCCAGCATGCCTTCAGCAGGGTAATGAGGTGGGTGTCACCGCGGGGGTAAAGCGACAACCAGTGACCGCTGCGTCGCCACTTGGCCTCTCATTTCCGTGGTGATGAAGTGTCGATTGGCAGGGTCAAGGGGGCGGGAGAGAGAGAGAGAGAGAGAGAGAGAGAGAGAGAGAGAGAGAGAGAGAGAGAGAGAGAGAGAGAGAGAGAGAGAGAGAGAGAGAGAGAGAGAGAGAGAGAGAGAGAGAGAGCGAATGCCGAACGAGGACTGACACGTACTGTCTCTGAAGCCTTCTCATATTCGCGGCACAGACCTCCAGCTACCATATGTTTTTATCAGAGACCGAACCACAAAAGGGGGAATTACGTTTGAAAGGCCGGTAAATAAAGTTGGTATTGATTTGATCTCATGTGTAATCCGTTTTGCTGTCTGACACCAAGTCCAGCAATAAAAGAGAATCATGTAGGACAGCATAATAGATAATACGACCATACATCAATTGGGGTTTGGGAGACGTGAGGGCGATAGATCATCTTCCAGCCAGACTGCTTAGCTATGGAATTTATAAACTAGCTCCAAAAATTGAAGCGGCTTTCCAATTTACAGATGCGCCATGGTACTTTACTGCTTTTCTCCACTACAGCTGATTCTATTTCAAGTTTACCAGAACGATTCGCTGTGAGACAGACAAAGTTTGCCTGACATAGCAGCTGTCAAACGGCTCTTCCGTCGTAGTCTTTGTCTCTTACTTTATCTGAAACAGTTGCGTTTAAAAGACGCCCTTGAGTACATTTAAATTGTAAAAGGAGGAACATTAAAGCATTTTTGATTAAATAATATTTATTGATTTTAAAATAAAGTTTATTATTCATTATTTTTTAACAATGCATTTGCATTAAATAGCTGTAAACGTAAACTTCTAAAGATAAAGATCCATATTATATTTATTATTATTATTATTATTATTATTATTAGTAATAATAATATTGGAGTGGCTTGATTAAATATGAGCTTGCTTGATTTTATAGGAAAGCTATTCTAAAGTTTAATTGTGGAGAAGGATATTGGGACAAACCAAAAGATCAAAATGCAAATATTACTTAATATTAAGTAATTAAAATCCAATTATGCTGATGCAAATATATATATATATATAATTTTTAAAAAGTAATACGATCAGGAGGGCTGTTAAAAATGTATTCATATAGACCGAATACATACACTACAACTGATTATGAGTTTGTTTAAAAACTAAAAGTAATGATCATTCGAAATGTAAATTTTATTTATATATCTTTCTTATATTAGAATTATATATATATATATATATATATATATATATATATATATATATATCAGTGCAGTCAAATCGATCTGAAATAAAAGTTTGTTTATGTAATATATGCGTGTATGTATATATATATATATATATATATATATATATATATGTGTGTGTGTGTGTGTGTGTGTGTGTGTGTGTGCCGCCTTCCACGTAAGATAATGTACGGTCAATTACATCTTGGCTCCCGATTTGCAGGAGGCCAAAAAAGAAGAGGCTGAAAGACGAACTAGCTTTCTTAAGAAGTGTGAGATAAGGCCCACATCCCTGGAAACTAATGCTGTGAATCGCAAGCTTTGGCAGCAACTTTGTCAGAATGGAGTACAAAGTTATGAAGACAGGAGAACTGAACATCGCCTGACTAAAAGAATTACGTTAATATTAAACTCATCCAAAAGCTATTTGGAAACATTTAAAACTGTGTTTCTGTGTGGATTGATATCATCCAGCTTATGAAGCAAATGTGAGCTTACTTTGGTAAAGACAGCAGATAGTGCCCACACTTTGAATATTAGTGTTGAGGCACTCTTAAGATTCCCTGTAGAGAAGCCCAGCGTGACTGTTCACCTGGGATCCTGTTTTGAAGTGTCTGGTTATATATAATATTACAGGTTGTTGCTGTTTTCCTCATAGCCATGCTGGTTTCTGCCCCCTTAAAACAATCAGGAGAAACTTTTATATGCCCTGTCTGTAAAAGACAGTGTGCGTCCCGCATCGGACTATACAGTCATCAAAGAACCCACAAATTATAGGAGAAGTCATCATCGGACGATGATGGACTACCCAGAAGAAGAGAAGAAGAAGTGTGTGTGTGTGTGTGTGTGTGTAGCACTGCAGCATTGATACATTTACATTTATGGATTTTGAATTAATAAACAGATCTGTGAAAACCTTCATTAAAATGAACAACATTTATGTAAACAACATAAATGCCTGAAGACAAACTGTAAGGCATCAAAAGTGATCACATGAGGTCAGTAAAGTTGTCCATGTGCTTTCGATAACAGTTTTGTCTCTGTAACATGAATTAATTTCAGCACAGATATGCCTCAGTTATGGAACACTTGCGCCATCTTCTGGAGACATAACATAACAACAACATACCAGTAGGACATGGACACAACTAGCCTGGCAGAGGACTTGCACTTTAGCCATTACTAATCACTGGTTAAAGGCTAAACCAATGAACACTAACTGACTGTGTGAGTAAAAGCATAAAGGTATGGAGTGAATTTCTCTTACCTCATCAGCACATGGCATCTGTACTTGAGGTGATCCCCACTCCTTGCTGATCTTCTCTCTGGTCATCTGAGGGATGATCCAGCACTTGTCAATAACCAGATCTGGGTAAATCAGCTTTAACTCTCCCCTAAAGAGTAAAAATACAGGTATGAATAATTTAACCTGTCTATAACACTCCATCATTATTCAATGAATGAACAGTTTATGGTTTCCCATAGGTCATAAAACCCGAACATACGCTGTGAATAGCCCATGATGGCAGAGAAAGTTGAACTAGTGAGTAAGTTGTTAGCTTTGTAAGGCTTGTTGTGTGGGTTTCGAGTGGGACCGGCTGCTTAAGCATCCATGACTCAGAGCTCTGAGGGAGTCCTACACATCCCACACCGGCCTACAAGCCAGACTTCTCAAATCAGTTCATCTAAGGAAATGTGGTTTGGAAATTAACCCTAGTCCAAAACTCCTAAAGGAAAACATTTGTTAAGGATTCCTATTGGAATTTTAATGAACCAATCCCAGCAGGATAAAAATGCCTATCTAAGACATCAGAAGGAATTTACATGCATATATATTTGCTATTTTTCCCACAGTATTTTAAGCAAACATTCAGGATGTTTTGATCGTATTAACTAACGGAGTGTGTATTTACACTAAGTGCAAATAATCTGCCTTGTTGGCAATGGCTATTTACACTAACTCCGCCCACTGATGTCTGATTGGGCCAGACAAAATTACAGCGGTGGCAGAAAGTTTTGATGCATATCGACCCGAGTTCGAATCTAGACCATGTTAAATATAAGTAATGTTAAATATAAACATAATGATTCCTAGATTTAAATATATACTCAGTAAACAGCAACTGCCTTTACCCAGATGCTTTTATCCATAACAATTTACAAAATAATTATTATAGTAACAGTTATCTTGGAGCAACAAGCTACACACATTTACTTAATACTAATAAAACTAATAATAAAGCATTTTGTTGCGCTTTTCTCAAACCCAAAGCGCTATAGTTAGCTAAATGAGAACATTGTTAGCTAAGTAGGCTAAGCCTAATTAATATTATCAGATTATAATTATTATCAAATTAAGTCACTACTATATTTTGGTATTAAGAGAAATATAATTCTGATAGAATACAACTTGATAAAAAAAATACTTGACAATCATTTATTTATTTATATTGCTGAAAATAAGAATGTTTGAGTAGAAAATCTAGCAAGTTATTATATAGTGGAACTGACATTCACTTCTGACTAAGCAGACAAAATATTGGACACATTCAAATGATCACAGAATATCTGGACAGAATGACAACATTGTGAAGTCTTACTTGCAGAATTCAGCATCTCCTGAAGTCAAGAGCTCGTCACAGGTGGATGTGATCATGTGACACGCTGAGAGGACGACGCACAAAACAAGCGACGTGCAAAATAAATGCATTTTCACCGACCCTTCAATAGAAACGTGGGTGAGAGTAAATAACTCATTTCACTTTCTTTCATGCATGTACAACAGACTTTAAGTGCAATAAGACATTATGTGAGAGGAAATCTATAGCCTAATATATCATATGTTTTGTTTTGTTTTTTGACAAAAAAAACATTAAGTCTTTGATAATGTTCATAATTTCTGTATCATTTACCTGTAATTCCTGACAAACTGTGAGATGTTCGCAGCTGAGGTTTAACGTTAGACCTCCAAACAAATCTAGTCGTCGACTAAAATAGTGTGGTAATATTACGTTACAAAGTTAAATTGAGAAACACATTAGAACCGCCCACTCTTCACTACCATTGGTTTCCACTGCTATAAGCGGACACCTTATTGGTCTATAGATGCGTCAGTCATTTTTTTGTTTTATTTGTTGTCGGGGTGGCACTGCTTAATTTTTTTTTAGAGGCAGGTAGGTATTAGTGCCACATGGTAACAGGTGTTTGTTCCTCTTACAGCATCTGCCATGTCTCTTTAGTGAAAAATATATAGCCTGCTGAAAGCAAAATCTGAAAGCCGAAAAAATGCTTTTCTTACTCATCTTGTTTCCAGTCCAAACATAAAAAAATTCTTAAATCAAGATGCATTTACTAGACAAGTAAAATTACATAAGATAGTATATCTTGTTTTCAGGGGAAAAATCTAAATTAAGTGAGTTTAAAAACAAATCTTACCCCACTGGCAGATAATTTTGATTGTTTTAAGAAAAAAAACACGTAATTTATATACTTTTTTCTGAAAACAAGATAGGCCTACTATCTAATGCCATTTTACTTATCTAGTAAATGTGTCTTGATTTAAGAATTGTTAGATATTTGGACTGGAAACAAGTAAGAAAAGCATTTTTTTTTTTCTGAAATCGGAAAGGTTCTCGAGTCAAGCATCTCTTTCGAAAATGTCCGATTCATAATGAGCCGATGATTGAGCAATATGTGCCTGAATGGAACGTGGAATATGAGGGAGCATGTTGGTGTAAATTAATTAATGATTCATTTATTGTAGGCTGTATTCCATTAACTTTCATTTTATGGACCTTATAGGTTTAGTGGAAGAATTTCCAGACTAATTTACCACGTAGTGAAAATTGAACCAAACTTATGGGGACAAAACAAACAAATTAATAAATACAAAATGCAAACTGCTAGTTTGTGTTTATTAAACACTATTTACACATTTCATGAACACATGCTGTAGGTTTCCTGAAAATACCCCCCCCCCCCCCCAATACCAACTCATGGAAATGAGGCCTGTTTCTCATACAAATACTGATAACATTCAAGTTTTTCATTCAATCATTTGATTTCAAGGCTTTCGTGGCTTCTTTGCTGCACTGGCCCTACATTGTTGTAACTGTGCAGCAAAAACAACATCTGGTGCTGCTGACACTCTGGTTTGTGCTTCTTTGCAATGGTGGCACTATAGCTCATTAAAATAGGATTTAAAGCAATTATTTTTAATGATTTCATCTTAAATAAAGCACTGTAGCCTATTTTTCTGCTTTAACCTATGATAATGTATCTAATTCTGAGATTAAAATAAAAAATACATGCATCAGTGAAATGCATCACTGATTGGAAGTGCATGATTACTTTCGAGGGCACTATACAGTACACAGTATATTATGCTGCATAGTGCACAGTTGTCCCCCCCAAAAAAAAAAAAAAAAAAAGTATATTATTTTTTTTTTTCTGTTCATATAGCGGACTAAAACGTTAGCCTATATTGCACAGAGCATGACAAGGTAGTCAAGTTTTAAAAATGTCAACCAAACCGATCATTTTTCATTTTAGCACACACACTGTATCATTGTTATTCTTCATCTGTAAATGGAAGCAGTTTGATAACACGTTCACATGTATGATAACACGATAACATAACACCAAGACAATACAGAGAAATCACAACGTAATAATGGGCTAGTAAAGTAGACGAATAAACCATCTTTACCAAACAAACAACGTGACAGATTTTACACATTATGCACCTATTTGGTGTACAACACATATAATACATAAAGGATAGCATTACATTTCAAATACGTCTCTCCTTGTGTACTTTACATTAAGGCATGGGGTATCTTCTCTGCAGCAACAGAACACAATGTCCAGTTTCTTACTTCTTACCTGATGTCCTTACAACCTTATGTTGCTCGCAGAGAGTTTCTACAATCTGAATTGAAAGAATCTTCTGGGATGGTTAAAAACCCATAAGTAAGAAAAATCACAAGAAGGATCTAAATTAATATCTCAGTTGATTCTCTTAGACTTAGACAGTAAGATTGAATGTAGGCTTTTGCTTAAGGTTCTGGCTTCTCTGATTTTTCCTCTGTATTTTCATCTGATATCAAGGAATTCTGGGAGAAACATCTGAGATATTTAAGTTGATATTTAAATGCGTCTAGGGCTGGAGAGTTGAAGATCCTTAAGGTTTCTCAACACATTTATTGTTCGTCATTCCCTATTTACCCCTAGACTGAAGGGGAAGACGTAACAATGGGGGCTCGTCCGGGATATGAACCCGCGACCTCTCGCACCCAAAGTGAGAATCATACCTCTAGACCATCAAAACTATGGTCATAACTCCATAATGCCTGAAAGAGCAACCTCTGAGCAATAAATTCTGGGAAGATGAAGATGTAGCTTATAGCACATGATACCTGTCATATCTCAGTACATTCAAATCATCACTCCCACTTTGATTTATATAATAGTGTAACATAACTGTATAGACTCCATAGTTATAACTCAAATAAAATAAACTCAGTATCATATGCTAACAACAGGCTGTTGTGATTGTCTGTGAATTGTAGCAATGTACACCGCACTCGCTTGTCTTTTATAGGATGATTAGACTTCAGACCGATGCATGTATAAATGATCCATCCTTAAATTTCCAAAATAACTTTCAAATTCCTTGAATCACTTTCAGATCAAACCTCTTCACACTTTATCTTTGTATGTTAATGACAAGAGTCTTTTCCTAAATGCTATTACAAATACTTAGTAAGATGCTGTAGTCTCCGCTTGCCCCCACCAGAGGAATTAACAGTTCATCATGTGTATTATAATGGAATGAACTCAATCATTATCATTCTGGATCTACATTCAAAGCACAGCATATACATATTTTTGGGTGTCTAAATTAAAACAATTTTCCTCAACATTCCCTTGATGCCAGCTACAACAGCATTGCACGTGCAGGTCAGCTCTTATTAAAGCAGAAAAACATTCTCTAATATTAATTTGTTTACAACAGCAGAAAGTGCATAGCAGATTGCCTTTTACTCTCCTTATAAGAAGTCATCTGGTGCTATAAAAACTACTGTATTTCCTTATTTCCTTAAGTCATTCTATATTTAAGGTGCTTTTCGCTTCTATAACTATGGCATGTGCTAGATCAGAAACATTCAAATCGCAAAGGGTTTAAGTATATATGAACCATGCTTGTGAATTTCCTTCCTCCTATCGGGAGGTAATGCACCATAGTTATGTAAATGTAAATTGTAAAACTGCCTTGCATTGCATTATTCAATTGGAACTTTTCTGTCATTTTTTCCTTAGTATATTATAGTATTAGAATAGTTGTATAAATACCTTTTTTCCTAAGTCACTACTAATTATATTAATATTTTAAAGACCCTAAAGTGTCCCCTAATGGGATGCTGAAATATAGCAGATGTAGGAAACACTCTGCAACTACTTAAAAGTAACATGCTGTGATGCATCATGGGATGGTCACGGGCCTGCCCGTGAAACTCATCCAAAAGCTATTTGGAAACATTTAAAACTGTGTTTCTGTGTGGATTGATATCATCCAGCTTATGAAGCAAATGTGAGCTTACTTTGGTAAAGACAGCAGCTAGTGCCCACACTTTGAATATTAGTGTTGAGGCACTCTTAAGATTCCCTGTAGAGAAGCCCAGCGTGACTGTTCACCTGGGATCCTGTTTTGAAGTGTCTGGTTATATATAATATTACAGGTTGTTGCTGTTTTCCAGAATATTGTTATCGAGACAAAAATGCAGCTTTCAGGAGGCAATCTTGATGTAAACCTGAACTTCATCTTGTGATAGCGCGAATACATGACATTACGTCAGTAAATGCTGATTTTGTGTAAGCCCATAATCATTTGAATGCCTGTTTCGATTTGCACTTTTGTCAGCTTATAACATGTGAGGTTACAATTATTAAGAGGAAACAGAGAAGAATATGCATCATATATGTGCGGGAAAAACAAATAGTCTTAAAGCATGTGTCTGTTGTGCACCAGTAACATTCAGCCTGAACATTCTTGAATAGCCGGAGTAAAAGCACATAGAGTGGTAAAATGGGTTCAAAGCATGTTAAGCCTAATCAACAGGTATAATGTTTATAACCACAGAAAATACACAACCATCTGTTCGTTTTTTTGTTTTTGTTTTTGAAAGAAGTTTTTTATGCTCACCAAGGCTGCACTTATTTGATAAAAAAATACAGTGGAAATTGTGCAGTATTGTTACAATTTAAAAAAAACTGTTTTCATATTAATATATTTTGAAATTTAATTTATTCCTGTGATCAAAGCTGAATTTCCAGCATCATTACTCCAGTCTTTAGTGTCACATGATCCTTCAGAAATCATTCTAATATGCTGATTTGTTGCTTAAGAAAAATAATTTATTATCAATGATGAAAACAGTTGTGCTGCTTAATATTTTTGTGGATAGCATACTTTTTTTTTTAAGAATAAAAAGTTCAAATGAACAGCATTTATTTGAAATAGAAATCTTTTGTAACATTATAAATGTATTTTACGGTCACTTTTGATCAATTTAATGCATCCTTGCCGAATAAAAGTATTAATTTCTTGCAAAATTTGAGTGCACTTAAACCCGCTCCTTTCTTACAACAGCATAAGTTTGCATTCAGATCTGCCTCCATCCAATCAACAAACGATGGATAGAACCAAGTCCCAGCTCTGCATAACAATTTCACTCGGATGTATATCACAATACGGAAAGAAAACATCTCTACTTCCGTTTTATCGCAACCTTAAAGGGATAGTTCACTTAGAAATGAAAATTCTGTCATCATTTACTCACCCTCAAGTTGTTCCAAACCTGTATGAGTTTCTTTCTTCTTCTGAACACAAAAGAAGATATTTTGAAGAATGTTGGTAACCAAACAGTTGAACGGTAGCCATTGACTTCCATAGTATGGAAACAAAATACTGTAGAAGTCAATGGGGCCCATCAACTGGTTACCAAAATTATTCAAAATATATTTTGTGGTCAGCAGAAGAAAGAAAGGTTTGGAACAACTTAATCACAGGAAGAGTAAATGATGACACAATTTTCATTTTTGGGTGAACTATCCTTTTAAGTCCTGTGGCTATACATTCTTTATACAGTGAGCATTTTAATGTTTATTGCTTTAAGGCATTGGTAAATGCCTTAAAGTATCCACGATTATTTTCAGTGGTAATTGACATTATGCCATAAATAATGTCTGTGGACTTAAGTCCCACGTGGCCCTCCACTAACCAGCCATCTTTAAATGTCACATTAATAATACCTTTAGATATTAAACAGTGGACACCATTTGAATCTTGAGAACGTCGGTCTGTTGAAGTGGTTTGAGAGTAGATTGCCAAAACACTGAGAAATTCATGTGTTTCATGTTTGCTGGTTGCTCTAAAATGTTCCTGTGTGTTCTTCTCATTTGGAGCAGAAAAGCACTTATTAACATTTCAAGTTATGATAATGTGCAGTCCTGCCATGTATTTTTCTATACAGATGAAGATATGTAGCTTTTGATGATTATGTTTGGGAAACCGATGCTGAGTGTAGATTGTCTTTACACAGGTAAGAGCAGCATTCTACCACCGCAGGATATGATGCCACAAGAGGACATCAAAGCTGATTTGATGAAAATCCAACAACTAAAGTAGAGATACTTTTAGTCAAAGCCTTGTGTTGTTTTGTCTTCCGTACATTCTACATCCTATTTCATTTTTGCTTGTTCTTCAGCAGCTAAAAGGAGGGCTTGGGCATTTTGCTCAACAGAAAACAGGTAATCTTGTAGAGTTGAAAAAGGCTATCATTCCTTGTTGTGTGTTTATATCCCACATTTAGGACTGTTAGGTGGATTGTGCACCCTGAGAGCCAATCAGATGACTGCAGAGGAACCAGCAGAAGACGGAGAACTAGAAGAAGTTGAAGACGGAAGATGCCAAAAGAGCCACCTGCGTTTACACTGACGCTTCTGGTACAAGTAATCTTCTTTCTCACGCTCCTTACGAGCCCGCTGATAGTGATCTTCTTCCTTTAGATACCACACGGGAGGCCAGCGATGTTTCTCAAAGTGCTCCTGGTTTTCTGCAAAACAGAATGAGACCGCCACACTTGCTTAATGCAGAACTAATTTTATACTGAGATAAGGGATGCCTGACATGCTGCAAAAAAAAAGCCAGACATCTCTAAAACCACATAAATGTAAACTATAAACTACCATTCAATATTTTTTGGTCAGATTTTTTCAATGTTTTTGATCGAAGTCTCTTATGTTTACCAAGGATGCATTTATTTGACAGTAAAAAACAGTAATATAGTGAAATATTATTACAATTTAAAATAACTGGTTTCTATTTTAATATACTTTAAAATGTAATTTATTCCTGTGATGGCAAAGCTGAATTTTCAGCATCATTACTCAAGTCTTCAGTATCACATGATCCTCCAGAAATCATTCTAATATGCTGATTTGCTGCTCAATAAACATTTCTGATTACTATCATGTTAAAAACGTTTCGGTTTCTGTTGTAACCGTGGAGAGAACGAGACACAGTCTCGATGAATGACACTAGGGGTCATACTTGGGAGCCCCAATCGCCTCTGATAATTTGTGAACAGTCTAATGAAAATTGGCGAGGCGCGAGGGGAATTTGTGCCACTCCCCCGGCCATACGGGTATAAAAGGAGCCCGGCGTACATCTACTTATTCAGGTTTGTGCTGAGGAGCCGAGACAGTGTCCTGCCCATTTCAGTGGGCAGTTCAGCATTGTGGAAGGAGAAACACCACGTCTTGTTCCCTCCATCAGGGAATAGAGTTTACAACAGTAACCTCTGTTCCCTATCTCTGAGTCACTGCAACGTGGTGCCGAAGACTGACACTAGGAGTCCCCCGGGGAAAACGGCACAGCAGCTTACAATGTTTGGCAGTGCAGATGTCGGCAAGCCACCGCGTGCCGTAAGAAGCACACTCGCAACATCGTAACCTACCCAACGCCCCACGTAAGCTGTGTAGTCCTTCATACCACACAGGGACAGAGAGGGAATGGGTAGCTTCAGCTGGGAATAGGTCGCAGCCGGTCTTTTGACCTTTTCTATTTTTTTTCTTTTCTTTTTTGAAAATTCACAGGTGTGCAGACTCTGGGGCAGTTTTTCTTTTCCATGACAAAAAAAAAACACTACGAAGACACCATCCTGCCCAAAGAGATGTTAACATGTGGAGAATACATCACACATGGAAAGAAGTCTCTGTGGTAGGTCCTACCTGAAGAGGGAGGAACTTCTACTAGCACAGTGACTGGCAGCAAAGACAGACCTCTGCCTTGGGGAAGACACAGGTTTACCGTCAGGGAAACTGTATCATGGAGGATACCTTAAATGGGATTACCATAAGGGAATTATTACATAAGGAACACTTAGCTCCAGTACACGGGCTGACCCGAAGGGGCATGCATCACGGGCACTGTACCTGGCAATTGAACCTGGCAATTGATTCTCGTTCCCAAAGCGCCGTTGACACATCGCGAGTTCCCTCGAAAGGGAACGTCTCAGGTTACGACTGTAACCATAGTTCCCTGAGAAAGGGAACGAGACGATGCGTCAACGACGCTTTGGGAACGCCCCCAGCGTGAATGCGTCTGAAGCATCTATGTCAACTAGTCCAATGGAAAGAATGAGCGTCACGGGCGGGTGAAGTCATGACCAGGAAGGGATAAAAGCACATCCGGTGCAAACCGGCATTAGCTTCGACAAATTGCCGAAGCAAGCCGATCACAGGGATGCAGGAAGTATGGCAGGGTGACGCATCGTCTCGTTCCCTTTCTCAGGGAACTATGGTTACAGTCGTAACCTGAGACGTTCCCTTTGGAGGGAACTCGCGATGCGTCAACGGCGCTTTGGGAACGAGAATACCCAAAACGCCAGAATTCCAAGTACCTGAGTGTTAGTCTGTTGTAACTAAGCACTAAGCACCTGAGAACCTGGGGCAGCATCCCGGTCTAAGCTGTAAAACCTAACGAATGTGAGCGGTGGGGACCAGCCTGCCGCATCACAAACGTCTTGAAGAGAAACCCCAAATAGTAAGGCTTTAGAGGCCGCCATACTCCTCGTAGAGTGAGCTCGTATGCAAGTGCAATAGCCTCAATCCACTTACTATCCACTTACTAACCGTCTGTTTAGAAGCAGGAAGACCTATCTTAGGTGATACAAAGCAAATAAGTAACTGGTCGGACTTCCTCCATGAAGATGTCCGATGAACATAAGTGTCCAATGCTCGCACTGGACACAAGAGGTTCAGCCTTTCCTGGTCCGCAGATGTAAAAGGAGGTGGACAGAAAGCCTGCAGCACAATAGGCCTCGGAATCAAGGTCGGCACCTTAGGGACGTATCCGTGTTTTGGATATAAGAATGCCTTGACCATCCCCGGCGCAAACTCAAGGCAAGTGGGGGAAACCGAAAGGGCCTGAAGATCTCCAACTCTCTTAAGGGACGAAATAGCTAGCAGAAAGATAGTCTTAAGGGTAAGAACTTTCTCTGAAACCGAATCTAAGGGCTCGAAAGGAGCCCTAGACAGGCCTTCTATTACTATAGCAAGATCCCAAGCTGGCACCCTAGTGCGAGTTGCAGGCCTCAGCCTCAATGTGCCACGAAGGAAACGTGTAATCAGGGGGTCTCGACCCAACGATGTACCCCCCACCAGGGCGTGGTAAGCCGCAATGGCCGCCACGTAGACCTTGAGCGTGGAAGGACATAGACCTGACGTAAAGCGCTCCTGCAGGAACTCGAGTACTGTGTTCACAGAACAGTTAACCGGATCCCACTGATGTCGGTGACACCATACAGAAAAAACTCTCCATTTAAGCGCATATAATTTCCTAGTAGCTGGAGCTCTGGAGCTTAGAATGGTCTCAACAACCTCAGTTGAGAGACCACTCTCTATGAGTTGGGCCCCCTCAGAGGCCAAACCCACAGGTTCCAAATCTCTGGCCGGGGGTGAAATATTGTGCCCCCGGCCTGAGACAGAAGGTCTCTCCTGATCGGGATCTCCAAGGGAGGACCGTCTAAGAGATGGATCAGGTCCGCAAACCAGATCCGACTCGGCCAGCGTGGTGCTACTAGCAGTAGGCTTATTCCGTACTGGGGGACTCGCTCCAGAACTCCTGGGAGCAGAGCAACAGGGGGAAATGCGTACAGACGTAGCCTCGGCCACGTCTGCACCATAGCATCCAGCACCAGGGGGGCTGGGTGAGTAAGGGAGAACCAAAGTGGACAGTGCGTCGTATGCTGAGACGCAAACAGATCCACCTCTGCTTGGCCGTAAAACTCCCAAATTTTCTCCACCGCCTCGGGGTGGAGTCTCCAGTCCCCTGGCCTCAGCTCCTGCCTCGACAGGATGTCTGCTCCAATATTCTGGTCCCCAGGAATATACACTGCCCTCAGGGAGAGTACCTTCCCCAGAGACCACAGGAGGATCTGGTGCGCCAGCTTGCAAAGCGGACGCGAACGCAGACCCCCCTGACGGTTCAGATAAGAGACCACCGATGTGTTGTCTGTACGGATGAGCACATGATGGCCCCTCAGGTCTGGGAGGAATTGCCTCAACGCATTGAAGACAGCCATCATCTCCAGGCAATTTATGTGCCAAGAGAGATGATGACTCCTCCACAGACCCTGAACCGAGTGGCCTTCCATTACCGCTCCCAGCCAGTGAGGGAAGCATCTGTCGAGATTGCAACTCAATTGTAAAGAGCTCCCAACACCGGACCCTGGGTTAAGAACCACAAAGGCGCGGAGACACCGCCGCTTGATCTTGATTATACGAAGTGGGTTTCCCCTCGGGGAGAACTCTCTGGTCCTGAGCCACCACTGTAAAGGTCTCATGTACAGCAGGCCAAAAGGTATCACGTTGGACGCTGCTGCCAAAAGACCCAACAGTCTCTCGAACTGTTTTACAGTGCGTGACTGGCCTAGCCTCAGCTCTTTTGTGGCTGTCAGGATAGCAGCTACACGAACGGGCGATAGAGTGGCCCGCATCGTCACTGAATCCCATACCACACCAAGGAAAGGGGTTCTCTGTACTGGAGAAAGCACACTCTTCTTGGCATTGAGCCTCAACCCCAACATCTGCATATGAGCGAGAACAACACCTCGGTGCCGAACCGCCAACTGCTCTGATTCCGCTAGAATCAGCCAGTCGTCGATGTAGTTCAGAATACGTATGCCCTGCAGCCTGAGCGGGGCTAGAGCTGCATCTATGCATTTTGTGAACGTGCGGGGTGATAAAGCTATACCGAAAGAAAGTACCCGATACTGGTATTCTTTGCCCCCGAAAGAAAACCTTAGGAACTTCCTGTGCTGAGTGAGGATGGAGACATGGAAGTAAGCATCCTTCAGATCTATCGTGACAAACCAGTCCTCGGATCTGATTTTGAGTCACGATCTGTTTGAGTGTCAGCATCTTGAACTTGAGTTTCTGTACTGAACGATTTAACAGACGAAGATCTAAAATGGGACGCAACCCTCCATCCTTTTTCGGAACAATGAAATAACGGCTGTAAAAACCCGACTCTCGGTCGAGTGAATACACCTGTTCTATAGCTTCCTTTGCTAACAGGGCCTTTACCTCTTGCTCCATTACCAGAGCCTGCTCGGGATGCACTACAGTGAGCAACACCCCGTTGTAGCGAGGAGGACGAGAACCGAACTGGATTCTGTATCCTTTCTCTACAATCCACAGGACCCAACGAGAAATATTTGGCAGTAGCTTTCACGCTGCCAGAAAATCTACTAAGGGAACCAGCCTCTCGAGGCTGGTCTCTGGTATTAACGAGACAGCCAGTTCTGGAGCCTGAAACAAAATGGCAGGAACTACCTGAACTGGCTGCTCTAGAACCCCCCTCAGAGGGCGCAAATCCGATGCAGTGCCGCAGCATAGCATCAGCGACTCGCTGGAGACCGCTGCGCCCCGAAGCAGCAAGGGTGACGGGGTTGGCAGAACGGTCCCGTGAGGACCCGAAGTGGAACGGGCACCGTATTCTGAGGTGTACACCGCTCCACTTCGGTCGGGGCTGTCCTCACAGGTCTGACGCCAGTGACGTCAGGACCTCTTTTTTTGAGCCGAAGTCTTCTTCGCCTGAAGAACGGTCCTCAGATCCGGCTTCGACTTAGAAGACTTCGACTGAGAGTGTTGCGCCTGTTTCCAGTGTTTATGTGGAGGTGAACTAGACGAAACACTCTCTTTCTGTTGCGCACGATATGAGGAGCTCGACGGCTGGGGCTGCTCACGCCCAGCAGCCCCAGGGGGCTGGACACGGCGAGGGAGAAACTTTTTAAATGCCTCCGCTTGCTTCTTTGACTCTTGAAATCTCTCGACGACCGCATTGACTGCGTCGCCGAAGAGACCAGAAGGCTCAAGCGGAGCATCCAGTAAAAAAGCCCAATCTTTTTCTTTTATTTCGTCCAGATAACCAAAAATGTCTCTCAGTAGCTACAAGGGCTGCCATAGACCGCCCAATTGCTCTGGTGGTCTCCTTTTTGCCCTGAGAGACAGATCAGTGGCCCGACGAAGTTCTCAAACCTTGTCAGGACCAACTCCCTCACTCCTATTCAGATCCCCCAGCAGGTCAGCTTGGTAAGCCTGGAGCATTGCCATAGTGTGCAGACATGCTCCAGCTTGACCTGCTGCCGTATAAGCTTTGCTCACTAGAACCGAAGTTGCTTTAAGCGGTTTAGTGGGCAAAGCTGAGGCCTTCAGAGACGATGCTGGACCAGGTGACAGATAGCTCGCGAGCGTCTGTTCAGCCTTGGGCATCGCCTCATATCCGTACTCTTTCCGCCCTCTTATACCTGAATATAAATGAACCTGAGGGCTGAAAAGTTGTGACAAGTATGGCTTATTCCACGATCTAGATAGCTCACTATGAAGATCAGGGAAAAAGGGAAGGCCTCGTGGTGGAGATGATGTGGTTGAAGAAAGGAAGCGCTCGTCTAATTTGCTTTTGGGACGAGCGCCCCTTTTCTCAACTGGCCATTCAATATTTAATTTTTCTACAGCCCGTGACATCACCTCCACCAGCTCCTCATATGCTGGGGAAACAGGTGGCGAATCTCTTTCCCCAGTGTGTGTGCTTTCACTCTCCATACTCATTACATCAACCTCCTCAGAGGAAGAGCACTGAAGTAATGGAGGACTCTACGGAAGAGCGGGCTTCCGACACCGGGGGGAGAGCACTGGATCCTCCGGGTAAGGAAGGAGAAAAGGCCCTCGGACCCGTCTCCAACCCCTCCGAAAGATCCTTTTGCGATCCCCAAGAATGCATTCTCCGTGTTGCCTCGGCAACAGCGGGTCCTGCACCCTGAGGATCGCGAGCCTGACCACTCTCGCAATGCTGGCACCCCCTCGAAGGCTGAGACCGCATGCTCCACTCCCAAACAAATGACACAAAGCTTGTGTGTGTCCCCACCTGTTAAATAACGCGGGCAGGGAGAAGCTCACTGTTTGTACAACTCTTTCCAATATATATGCAACAGACAACAATAAATAGACAGAGACAGTATAACACAGATCGCTTGCTGAGGCACAGAAGCTAATGCCGGTTTGCACCGGATGTGCTTTTATCCCTTCCTGGTCATGACGTCACCCGCCCGTGACGCTCGTTCTTTCCATTGGACTAGTTGACATAGATGCTTCAGACGCATTCAAGCTGTTCCCAAAGCGTCGTTGACGCATCACGAGTTCCCTCGAAAGGGAACTAACAATTTAACAATGTAAAAATCTTTACTCTCAATTTTGTTCAATTTAATGCATCCTATTTTAATAAAAGAATGAATTTCTTTCCAAAACAATTTTTTAACTGACCCCTTAGTGTATACAATATAAATTAATTTATTAATTCATTTTGTACAATATTAACCCTCTGGGGACCAAGAACGCGCCCGCGCGTTTTGCTGTTTTTTTTTCACATAGCAGCAACATAGACTTAAAATACTCTGTCATTTATGGTCATATAAATAAAATCAATACATGATTATAAACTATAGAGGGTCTTCTTTTTTTGTGTACACTCACATTAACATCAAAACCTTTTTTTTTTTTTTAAATAAATAAAATAAACAGGGTGCGCTTTCAGCTCACTCTGTCTCCGCAAAAATCTTTCTGAAACATGTCTGGAAAAAGAACGGAAACTCCGCTAATACTTATCATACAAACATGAAACATACGTCTAAAGAACGCTTTAAATTTCTACTTTTTAAATAAAAAAATTCACATTTAAAGCAAATATTCTCCTGCAATGTCATCTGTCTGAAACTAAAGAGAAGTACAGTTTCTCCTGTCTCAGCTCATTATCGTTAATTTGTTCACACCCACTCGCAGAGCGCGCTATTCATAAGATAATGTGTTGAGGCCATTTGCAAAATAGATAAACGCCCCCAGGCAAATGCTGTAAACGCACTATATTTTTTAGTCAGATTAAGATTCGTCTTGCGCGGCTATGATTGAGGAATAATCCTGGGACATTTAATACAGAAGTGCTGGTTTCACTTCGAGGAGGAGCAACAGATTCAGCTGAGAACTGTAAGTGTTTTATGGCTGTGCTTTGTTCTAATCGCGATATAATAATGTTAGTGTCTGTAAACGGAAAAATAGCATACTGTTTAAATGTGAATCATGTTTCTCTCTGTGTGTGTGTGTGTAAATGAATGAATGAACGCACATATACGCACTGTTACAGACGAAATAAAAGACAAAATTTCGTTGACTAGTTTTGGATAAAGTTTTTCAAATCAAATAAGCATCAAATAAGCTTCAAATAAGCTTCAAAATAAAGACATCAGCTTTTGTTAGGAGTTTCTGGGAATAGAAGTGTCCAGACGTATGCACCCTGTATTTTAAAGAAGAACATTTAATTATTTGCGATACATTATTCATTCACAAAGAATTCAGGGACATTATTCACGTCCATAAAGGTTAGAGTTTTCCTCATTTTTTAATTGAGGCATTAAGATTTTTTATTCCTCTTTTTAGTCAACTTTAGCATGGGTGTGTTCACTTCTAATTCTAAGCAGTATGTGTGTGTGTGTGTGTGTGTGTGTATATATATATATATATATATATATATAGCCTATAATTAAAAAGCTATTTTAACCAGAAAAATCTACAATGCATGCCCAAAGTCGTGCAGCCATATAGTTTCTCTTGATATCAGTCCTGCTGACTTCAACATTCACAGTAGACTGTAATGAAAAATCAAACACCTTGGAAATGACAGGTATGTACTATGTTTCAGGAATGGGACAATGCTGTGTGACTGTGCAAGCCTCTGTTTTTAGATCAGTGTGTTTACTAATGTGCTTTTTTGTCCTTCGTTGTGTATCTTTGGATTATGTTGTGTTGTAAAATAAATCCAAACAATCTAAAAGCCATTCTTTTTTAAATCTCCTCATTCTTTGTGCAAGGCTCCTCGTAATGGGGCCTGATAGCACCTAATAGGGCCATTATGGGAGGGTCTTTGTCTTTCTCAGGTGTGAAATGCCATACATATTAATGAGAGATCACGCCTCCTTGCATAAAGCTTTCTCACACTAAACACGTCATACACATTATAAAAGACTTTATTGACTTATCTGAATGAGTAGTCAGGATGATTCTCACATAGTTTTGGAGCAAATATTCTAGACTATGTGATACAATTTTCAAAAGTCTTGTGAAGAAATAATCAATATGTGTTTTGTGGCCTTATTTCATAAACTTTTATTTTTAAGTTTTTCAATAACCATGCATAAATAATATTCTCTCAAAAATACAAACATGTACATACATGTTGCTCACAGATTATGGTAGCCCCGTTTGTGCTATATAGAGTGAATTTACACCTTTGCCATTAACATGTTTATAAATAACTATTTATAACTCATTATTTACAAAAATCCATTGTTCCATTACTTATTTAATGTCATGTCTCAATATTCATTTTGAAGTTAAAATAAATGTAATATTTAAAGAGATGGCAGCTAACGATTTGAAGGCAGTTGAATTACCTGTAGATTTGGCCTTCATGTCACGAGGGAATTTGCGACAGACTCTGTTGTAGTTGGTGCAGATGTGGTGGAGGCACCAATCAGTCATCTGATGAGAACAGTGGAACTAATGGGAACAATCACAAAGATGAAAACACTAGAGAGAAAATCATAGATTTTGAAATGGTTCCTAACCACTCCTAAAACATAGATTCTTTATGTCAATTAAAAATGATCAAATATCACATTTTTATACAATCTCTCTGGAATACTTGATTCTAATTGTAAGCAATATTTCATGTTTATTTATTTATTTGGTAAAAAGCCATGCAATAAAGCCAGTAAGCCGAGATATACTCTATCCACCTGCAGACCTGCATCAAGCATGACAAGCATGATGGGGAATACGATGAGTTGTCTATAATATTTCTGTCATGATGTAAACTAATTTATATATTAAGTGTTTAGCTGCTAAAAAATATAAAATAATACTGTGCACATCTTTTGCTATTTATTATCGAAGCTTGAATTTGTTGTCATACTTTATTGTATACAATATTTTTTCTGTGGTCAGTTTGATTACTTTTCAGATTGGGAGGTGTAAATATCCTTTGCAGTAAAATCACTGTAGGTTTTGTATTTATTATATATGAATATAAATTATTTTTGCATTTTTCACAGTAGAGATATTATTCATGTGAATCCTATTAATTTCGTTTTCAGGGATAACATGGAGGTATTTCTGCAGGAATGCCATGATAAAATGTTCTTAAAAGTCAACCATTTTTGTGATACGTTTTAAGTTGATTATTTGTTGTATAGAGTTTGTGGGGATTATTATTCATTATTATTATTTATTATTTTTCAATTATAAGCTGTTTATACGTTTTGTTTTGTTTTAAATTAAAAATTATTTTAGCAATAATTATTTAAATGTCTTGGTTTTCATATAGAGAAATGCATTTTTCACTTGTATTGTTCGCTTTGTATTAAATGTTTGTTTTGAATTTCATATGATTAAATACAGTATATTTAAGTCTTGAACAGCTATTTGTAACAACAGGAAGGAAAGTAAGGATTAAGGAAATAATATCACATAGTAAAATGGGAATCACTTTACATTATAGATATTATTTTCACACATGTTAGACATTTATTCTGTAACATTTTATTTTGATGGTCCCTTTTAAACATTCTGTTGAATATAAGTGACTTTGTAACTACATGTCAACTAACTCTCATTATGCATAAAAATACATTATGCATATATGTGGCACAAGTCTATTAAGTTATTCTAGTATGTAGTTCACTTCAGACACTTGCAGGAAGCAGGAGTCAAGATCCAAAGAAAGTATATTTTAATACGCCAACCAAAATACAGGTATGCGTATGAGAAAGCACTACACAACAACTTAACACGACTAATACCGGAACAAAGACTTACTTAAACTGAGGGCATATACACTCACCTAAAGGATTATTAGGAACACCTGTTCAATTTCTCATTAATGCAATTATCTAATCAACCAATCACATGGCAGTTGCTTCAATGCATTTAGGGGTGTGGTCATGGTCAAGACAATCTCCTGAACTCCAAACTGAATGTCAGAATGGGAAAGAAAGGTGATTTAAGCAATTTTGAGCGTGGCATGGTTGTTGGTGCCAGACGGGCCGGTCTGAGTATTTCACAATCTGCTCAGTTACTGGGATTTTCACGCACAACCATTTCTAGGGTTTACAAAGAATGGAGTGAAAAGGGAAAAACATCCAGTATGCGGCAGTCCTGTGGGCGAAAATGCCTTGTTGATGCTAGAGGTCAGAGGAGAATGGGCCGACTGATTCAAGCTGATATAAGAGCAACTTTGACTGAAATAACCACTCGTTACAACCGAGGTATGCAGCAAAGCATTTGTGAAGCCACAACACGCACAACCTTGAGGCGGACGGGCTACAACAGCAGAAGACCCCACCGGGTACCACTCATCTCCACTACAAATAGGAAAAAGAGGCTACAATTTGCAAGAGCTCACCAAAATTGGACAGTTGAAGACTGGAAAAAAATGTTGCCTGGTCTGATGAGTCTCGATTTCTGTTGAGACATTCAGATGGTAGAGTCAGAATTTGGCGTAAACAGAATGAGAACATGGATCCATCATGCCTTGTTACCACTGTGCAGGCTGGTGGTGGTGGTATAATGGTGTGGGGGATGTTTTCTTGGTACACTTTAGGCCCCTTAGTGCCAATTGGGCATAGTTTAAATGCCACGGCCTACCTGAGCATTGTTTCTGACCATGTCCATCCCTTTATGGCCACCATGTACGCATCCTCTGATGGCTACTTCCAGCAGGATAATGCACCATGTCACAAAGCTCGAATCATTTCAAATTGGTTTCTTGAACATGACAATGAGTTCACTGTACTAAAATGGCCCCCACGGTCACCAGATCTCAACCCAATAGAGCATCTTTGGGATGTGGTGAAACGGGAGCTTCGTGCCCTGGATGTGCATCCCACAAATCTCCATCAACTGCAAGATGCTATCCTATCAATATGGGCCAACATTTCTAAAGAATGCTTTCAGCACCTTGTTGAATCAATGCCACGTAGAATTAAGGCAGTTCTGAAGGTGAAAGGGGGTCAAACACAGTATTAGTATGGTGTTCCTAATAATCCTTTAGGTGAGTGTATACACAGCAGACAAAGACACACCTGAACTGAGGTACTTAATCAATATGTAACCATAGAAATAAACAGTGAGAGAACGGATGAGAACTGAACTAATTAACAGACTATAAGATTAACGATTAAAGAATTTCAAACATGAACAGAGCAGAAGAAACCGATCAAAAAACAAAACTCAAAAGTGACAGTACATCCCCCTCCCGGAAGGCACGTCCTCGCGCCGTAAAAAGTCCAACAGGAGGGAGGGTGCCCAGGAGACTGACGAAGGGCTGGAAAAGGGGGTAGGTGGTACCCCTCCTACGGTGTGCCGGCAATACAGGAAGCCAGGGAGGTGCAGGCAGCGCTGGGACGGCCTCCTTGGCCATGTCTGGGAGAGTGGGCAGCTCTGGGATGGCCTGTGAGTGGATGTGTGTGGCTGAAACTAACATAACAGCAGCAATATAAATGTTAAGGACCATCTCTTTGATCCCAGCAGGGCAGACAGGAAGGGCAGGCTCTGGAATTTCACTCACTGGAGCGGACTGAGGAATTTCACTCGCTGGAGTGGACTGGGGAATTTCACTCACTGGAGCGGACTGGGGAATTTCACTCACTGGAGTGGAATCTGGAAATTTTCTTACTGGAGCGGACTCTGGAATTTCTCTCACTGGAGCGGACTCAGGAATTTCTCTCACTGGAGCGGACTCGGGAATTTCTCTCACTGGAGTGGACTCGGGGGTTTCAATCTCTGGAGGGGGTTTCACTCTCTGGAGCGGATTTAGGGATTTCACTCTCTAGAGCGGATTTGGGGGTTTCACTCTCTGTAGCGGATACGGGGATGTCACTCTCCGGAGCAGATTCAGGGATTTCACTCTATGGAGCAGACTCCAAAACATTACTCACTTAAGCGGACTGAGGAATTTCACTCGCTGGAGCGGACTGGGGAATTTCTCACACTAGAGCAGACTGAGGAATTTCACTCGCTGGAGCGGACTGGGGAGTGGACTCTGGAAATGTTCTTACTGGAGCGGACTTTGGAATTTCTCTCACTGTAGTAGACTCGGGAATTTCTCTTCAATCGGTTTCAATCTCTGGAGCAGATTCGGGGGTTTCACTCTCTGGAGCACATTCAGGGAACTCACTTTCTGGAGCGGATTCAGGAGTTTCACACTCTGGAGCGGATTTGGGGATTTCACTCGCTGGAGTGTATTCGGGGATTTCACTCTCTGTATTGGATTTGGGCATGTCACTCTCTGGAGCAGACTCCAAAACATTACTCACTGAAGCGGACTGAGGAATTTCTCTCACTGGAGCGGAGTCATGATTTTCTCTCACTGGAACGGACTCGGGGGTTTCAATATCTGGAGCAGATTTGGGGGTTTCACTCTCTGGAGCGGGATTCGGGGATTTCACTCCCTGGAGCAGATTTGGGGATTTCACTCTCTGAAGCAGATTCAGGGATTTCACTCTCTGGAGCAGACTCACTGAAACGGACTCTGGAATTCCACTCTCAGGAACGGACCTAGAGCACTGGCGATTTCTTTAAGACTGCAAGGGAAGCTCAGCTTCCCCTATAACGTCAAAAAATGTATGGTCAAATGTGTACTATTGTGTTAACATTTTATTGACTAAAAATGCGTTAGAACACGTTCATCTCGAAGAAGAGTTCGTTCAGAATCAGCTACATATAGCAGGTCGGCTGACTCGATCTCCTTCTCATACATTCCTGTAGCGCGTCACAGTGCATTTCCCTATGGCATTTCCCCGTTGAAGCTCAGCGTCCATTGACTTCAATGGGGCTGCTTTGAACAGTTTTTTTCAGTGCTTCGAAACTAAACGGTCATTGGATAAATGCTCCGATTATGTCCCGCGCACGGACGCTCAGCGTCTCTGGGGTGTATAGAGAAGTGGGCTGGCCTGGAGTCCGGGCGTCTGCGTGATGATTGGAGGACTGCATCTCCTTTTGATTGACCGCGATTTCGCACAATAAAAAGTCGCTGACGCGGAAGCTATTCAAGATTTCGTACTCGAAAGACGAACTGCTGTAACATATTTCTTGGTATTTGCAATTTTCATCATACATTTCACAGTTTAACCTAATTCCCACATTTCCTCCGTCCGTCGATGTCAGGTGCCTTGTTACATGTGCGGGCGTGGTGTTTGAATCACAGCACATCTGTCTAGTTCGGTTTCGGTTTTGTGTCGGGATTCGGACATGCATGCTCTGCGTGTTTGTTTTCTGTTGTGAGTGCACAGGATGAGCTTATGGTCGTTCTCGTGCATAACGTTCTGTTTTGTCGTGTTCGCGTGCGGTTTCGTGTTCGCTCTGTTCAGTGTGTTGTATTTTGTGTAGCACGCGGTTCGTGTTTACATCGGCCGCGTGCTTTCATGTCATGTTTTGTCTTGTGCTGTGTAGCACACAGCTTGTGTTTTACACTAGCTGTGTGTCCTTTCATGTTGTCATGTTCTGTGGGAACACGTGGCTTATGAGTGTTCTCATTGTTCTTCATGTCTCATTTTGTGTGAGCACAAAATTGACAGTCGAGTTTAAAAAAAAAAGAGCTTCCCCTCTTTGAAAGACCAGAAGCCGCCACTGACCTAGAGATATCACTCACTGGAACGGACTTTGGAGTGGACTCTGGAGTGGACTTAAGGACTGGTGCGAACTCTGGAGCAGATAAGATGGTCCCGGTGGGAGGGAATGTTAAGGGTTTGGTAACAGGCTCGAGGTTAGCTGGAGTGCCCAAATGTTTTATGGATGGGACTGGATGAGGGTTTGTATTGTCCTCTTCGACTTCAACCACAAAATCAGAACAATATAGCCAGAGGACGTAATTAATGAAATCGACTAAGGGTAAATTATAATGACCAGGAGACAGGAACTAATATAACTCATCATCCACTCCCATCCGAAAGTAGGCCTTGAGCGTAGAATCGCACCAGCTCACCATATGGAAATAGTCCAAAAATTCCTCCACAAACCGCTCCAGGGGGCATCCATTCTGTCAGAGGGAGAGGAGATGTTCCTCAGACATTTTCATGATTGAGTCTCGGTTAAGGTTCTGGTATTCTACCATGGTGTGTAGTTCAGACACAAGCAGGAAGTAGGAGTCAGGATCCAAAGAAAGTTTATTTTATTACGCCAACCAAAATACAGGAATACGTAGAAAAAAGCCCTACACAACAACTAAACACGACTAATACCGGAACAAAGAACTCAACTCCGGAACTCAAACCGAGGGCTTATATACAGAGCAAACAAAGGGAGAAACCAACTAGAACTGAACTGAAGAAACGAATCAATATGTAACCATAGAAACAAACAAGGACAGAATGGAGAAGGACTGAACTAATTAACAGACTAGAAGATTAACAAAGAAACTCAAACATGAACAGAACAGAAGACACAGATCAAAAAACAAAACTCAAAACGTGATACCCAGCAGTAGATGGTCAAATTACAAATGTGTTTTTTGTGTGTGCGTGTGTTTCCAGTTAGCTTATGCTAAGCAAGCTAGTTAACTATTTAGCCTAACATGCATGTTGCACAGAATAATAGCAATCCGTACAGTTTTGTGCTCTCAGTGTTAGTGTAATGGTGTAGCAGTGTTCAGTTTCTTAGAATATAGGTTTAATGCTAAATTAAAATATCCAGATTAATTCTTAAATATAGGCCTATTTCAAATACACTAAATGCTTGTATCAGACTTTACAATCAGCCATCCCTTAGTGGTGCAAATGGGATAGAATTTCACTTGACAGCGATCCATTTTCATTCTCTCAGTCAGATGTACACTTACTTGGGCCATGTCCAGGTAGAGCAGGACATCTCCATCTATATCAGCTCCCATCATAGCAGCCTCTGTCAGTACCGTCACAGTGTACAGCTCTATGACAGACACACAACACTCATAAAAACAACAGAATATGTCAAAATTATTTTTTGGTTTGTATTTTTTTATTTCCTCAGTTAATATGTAACAGAATGAAAAATCTGTAACAGTTATTTTTGTAATGAAAGAATGGAATGGTGTAGAAACACTACAAGCCATTTGAGGGCGCTATATAGGCTCACCTGTTTGGCATATAAGGGGAAAGCTGACATGAAGAAGTAAGTCAGTTTGGGTAGTGGGAGCTTATGGCCATTTCTCAATATGCATTCTTGTCTGTACTTGTGTTGAATGAATGAATGAATGAGGCAATTTATATAGCGCTTTCATATGTACTACTGTACACCCAAAGCGCTTTACAATCATATCAGGGGTTCTCTCCTCAACCAGCACCAGTGTGCAGCATCCACTTGGATGATGCGACGGCAGCCACAGTACAACGGCGCCAGTGCGCTCACCACATACCAGCTATAGTTGGAGAGGAGAGAGAGTGATAGAGCCAATTCAGTGGATGGGGATTATTAGGAGGCCATGATTGGCAGGGGCCAATGGGTGGAATTTGGCCAGGACACCGGGGTTACACCCCTACTCTTTACGAAAAGTGCCATGGGATTTTTAATGACCACAGAGAGTCAGGGCCTCGGTTTAACGTCTCATCCGAAGGACGGTGCTCTTTGACAGTATAGTGTCCCCGTCACCATACTGGGGCGTTAGGACACCCACACAGACCACAGGGTGAGCACCCCCTGCTGGCCTCCCTGCTGGTGTTCTTGTGGACTTGTGAAACGTCATCAGTCACTGCCCAAGTACTGTTCCAATTCAAAGTTCACATCTAGCCAAGTCCAGTTCAAATCACCGGATGTGTTCTTGATCCGCCCCATTTACCGAGGATTAGACTTGTAGTCAAGACCGCCTAAACCGATACCAAGACACTACCAAGACCAGAGGGTATCGAGACCAAGACAAGACCAAGGCCAAGACCAAGACAGACCAAGTTGAGACCAAGACCGAGACCAAGTCGAGACCGGAGGGAAAAAAACAGACTAGTGTTGAAGCTAAGTAATAACTTGTAAGATTTTGTTTTGCATTGCCTGCCTATCTCTGCCGATTTCGAAGTCTCCAAATGAATCCATTTTGCAACTTTTAAATACATAATTATATTTTTAAAAACAAAATTATAGGCTTAAGTGCAGGATCCGAAAGTTGGTCATTTTGTCGCTAGGGTTACACACACACACACACACCGTTGGCGGTGCGCTCAATGTCATCTGTCAGTTGTGCTGTGCAGTTAACGTTACCCAAAATCTCCTGAATGAAGTTAAAACCCATCATGTCACTGATATGTGTTTTACTAAATATTAATACATCAAAAACTGTACATGATAGGCCAATGTGTTTTTTTAAATCAAGTGATCAAAGTGTTCGTTGCCGCTGCGATCAGTGGCGCGGATACAGTGTTTTCTCGCGTGGCTCGCGCACACCGCACTTGTCTTCACTCGGACGCGCGCTTCAATCCGTTCCGGATATCGCCGTGGATATTGTAGTATTGTATTGCTAAATCCCCCGACCACTGTCTCGGTCTGAGACCAAGACAAGACCAAGACCAAAACCGAGGATGTATCGAGAGGTAGTCTCGCGTAGCCAGACCTTCAGACTGACGGCTGAAGGTCTGGAATTCATAGCAGCTTTCTTTGGCCAAGGCCCGCCCATAAGGCCGTTTGACCGACATGTCAAACAACCAATTACAGTTCGTTTCGTTCAGCGTCACGTTTCGGGGCGTGGAAATGTCCCCACAACAACAGACCGGCGTGCAACAAGTCAGTCAGCATAGAAAATCAAAGAAGGAGAAGAAAACAAGCAGTAAGTCATTGATCTGTTCGTGCACGTATAACAACAATGGCGTGCACTTCATCAACAGCCATACCGATGAGACGCTCGCGGTAAACATCTGTTTGAAGCATATCTCTCCACTTTTTAACACCCACAAGCAATTCTGGAGAACCGAACACAATACTGAATCGGCCAGCTGCGATGTCAGCGTCTGTTGTTTCATGTTTGCCCGCAAACGCGGCTGATATCCCCTTCGCAGTTAGCTACTTCACTTGATCTTCCATAATAAATAGAAGGGGACACACAACTAGTAAAATTGGATCTGCTGGGAATCCTTCTAAATGCTGACAAAGGGTCGGCCAGGCTTGGAAAATAATACTCTTCCCAAATCCCGTCGGCAAACAGGCTAAAATATCTCTTTTTGTCTCCACTAAGTGCCTCAAACAAAACTCCTGGACATCTCTTAAAGAGTCTACGCCGTGAACCTCGCATACTTTTGAGAATCCTACGTTTAGCTGATCTTGATAAATGCTCATTGTCACTCATGTAAACACAACAGTTTTTCTTCCGCAATCACACGTCTGCGCTTTGTTTCCCGGCGGGCCGAAAATAAACGCGACACTCGCGCCCCCCGGAAATCCGATAAAATTCAACCAATCAGATGACGACTTCGACATTCCTGAAGTGTTTCCAGTTAAGTGTACCATATGCATCAGACGTTTAGCCAACGTTCCGTGGGCGTGACGTCTGAGGCTGAGACTAATCGAGAGGTGACTTGTGCGGACTTGAGACAGCCAGGTATCCCAGAATGCATCTCACACCAACCAGCAAGCGTAAATAGCAGAGGAGAAAACCCGAGTAATATCAAAATACTACTGTTATTGTGTCATGAAATGTAATTTAAAGAGTGTTTCAGGCGAGAATGTGGTTGTTTAAAGCTCAAATCTGTGGTTTATTTATAAAGATAGTGCCTATTTGAAAAATGTATCTGACGTTTTCGGAGTTGTGACATCCAGGCGTTCACCGCGGGTGTTCAACGCTCATCAACCCCGACTGGAACAGCTTTTCCTCGGCTAGTGCTTCTGACGTTTGCCGCTGGCTCTGATTTCTCTAGTCTAGTGGATAAATTTGACGTATAATTCGTCTTGTGTATAAGTCGATCTTTGGTCTCATTAAACTATTGTTTGTTCCATGGCAAAAAATATTTTTGGCTGAGAGCAAAGTGAAGTTTCATAACTTTATATATTTAGGCTATTTAACTTTAACTTTGTACCCTATTAGAGAGCTTACTTATGTTTGAATTGTTTGCCTTATTTATCATTGTAGATATTATTGATAATTAAAACTGACATTTAACAAAAAGAGACAGGGTTGTGTAATTTTATTTTATATACTTTAAAATATAAATATATTTTTATATTTATTTTAACATTCTCTTCACTATATGTACAATAAAATAAAATGACACAACCCTGTCTCTGTTTGTTAAATGTCAATAAAAATCAATAATGTTTCATATTTTTAAAATGAAAACAAAAAGATCATGTTCATGTTGTTATAAATATATGCAGTGAAGATAATGTACGCGTTGCCTGAACCACATGTCCATTAGGCTACTATGTTTAAGATTTTTAAATGAAAAGAGGCAGAGTGGTGTTTTATAGCATATTTCGTTTTATTGTTGACTAATATATACATAAAAGAGATAACCGGAGTAGCCAGAGCGTGCTGAGTGGCGCGATCAAGAACGCACTGTTCCATTTGCAGAATAACTGGACTCGCGTCCTCGCGTCCTCTCGTCCTCGGGAGTTCGTCCTCGGGAGTTCGTTCTCCTGAGTCGAACTTGGCAAGTCCGAACTACCAAGGACGCAAGTCCGAAGTTTGCGTACTTGGTATTGAGAAACGGCCTATGTTTCTTGGTGGCTACCTCAAAAAAGTGACTCATTGAGAAACCTTGGGGTTTTAAGCTCAATGTAAAAACTGATCATTTACTCACACCTTAGGGTGAGTTGGGAAGCAAGTAAGTTAGGATGGGTTTAAAAGGTTGCTGGCCTGGAGTGGATTTGTTTTTGTTGGTTGTCTCCAGCCGAAATGGACAATGCTACAGAAGAGAGAATTATTTCAACGCACTCAATGTTTTTCCTCATAGCAACAAATTTCAGCACACTCAATGTTTTCATCAAGTTGCATAACTTATTTTTTGTCACGGGACAGAACTTCATCTCAGATAAGAACCTTAAGAGTATTGTTTTTTTTGTGTGTGTGTGTGAAATGAAAGACAATGTTTTTCTAGTCTTTCATTTGAATAATTATTAGAAAGTTCCAGCATTGGGGGAATAAAACACCTAAAAAATCAAAAGTCGGTAGAATGTTTGCTTAAGTTTATTAAACAGTTTTTTTAAACTGTGTGATAAACCCTCATTAGTAGCTAAATCGAAAAACAGAGAAAAAGAGAAAAGTTACAAAAATGGCGCCAAAACAGGGACTCTGACTAAGAGATTCTTGAACCTAGAGGGTGTATCACTAAATAATTTTAAGAAAGGATCAAATAAAAGAACTTATAGCAAACACCATAGTCTAAAAATGGATAGGGATGAGATCGTGTCCGTTGAGGATTTCTCCGATGAAGCATTCATTCAGAGGAGAGATCCAGTGAACGAAATGATTGACACTTTTAGTCAATCGAGTCAACCGTGTATGTCTTTGCCTACGATACCAGCACCATACAATCCGCCGGGTAAATTAGAGTTTCCCAGTTTCACCAATGTGTGTTGATGTGTGTTGAGTGTTGATGATCCAGTTGTATTTATTGAGAGAGTTGAGGAGTATGTTAATCTCCGCCTGTTGCCTGTTAAAGAAATACTGGCAGCACTGGCTGTGGTGTTAAAAGAGACAGCAAAAGACTGGTGGAGTGCTGAAAAAAAGAAAGTAGGTACATGGAAAAGCTTTAAGGATAAGTTTTTGTTCGCATTTTTAAATGAGGATTTTAAAGAAGTGGCTGCACAGAGACTCGTAAATAGAAGACAACAGAATAAAGAGAGTATTCGGGATTTTGCTTACCACTATAGAGCCCTTTGTATGAGAAACAATCCAAAAATTACTGAAACAAAGATCGTGAATGCAATTCTCAGAAACTGCAACCCAAAATGAGCCAGTTTGCTGAGAAGCT